TTAGAGAAGTGCAAGCACAGGCCGTTTGCTTTTAAGGTTTAGAGGCTGAAATGAAATTAAGTGTAAATATATTCTAAGCAGTGAAATCAAATTTGCTTGCTAATCCAGGTTGCATCTCCTTTCCCCCACTCTTTATGACCAAACTAGCAGTACCAGTTGCTGTGCCTGCGTCACCTTTTCCTCTCTTTCCGCTTGCAGCCCAATCCTGCCATGCTTATGCAGGAGAGCTTCCCAGGAGGCTTGCCCGAAGCATGGGGAAATTGAGGTCAAAACACCAAAAAAAAAGTAAGATGAGAAACCTGGGAATTGGGAGAAAGGCAACGGCGACTTGATATCCGGCGCGATGTGGCTGCCCTTGGCTCCAGCACCCCCTTTTCCCCGCGAGGCCGCTGGGGCCTGCGGCTGCATCTCCCAGGGAGCTGGGGCTGGGTGCGGAGCTGGGGCTGAGGGGGAGGGAGGGAACCCGTAGGTGTCAGCAGGGAAAAATTCCCTCCTATCAGGTACATCTGTCTTCTTCCCAGTGCACACAGTCTGGCACTTCCCTGGGCCTTCCCTTTCCATGGCAGCCCTCTCTCCGGGAGCGTCCTGCCGTCATCCACACCTTGCTGCTGCTCTCCAGCCTGTCGAGACCCTCTGCCTCTGCAGCCCTCAACGTCGCTCCCTACCAGGGGTTTCTAACCTGCCTTCTTCATCAGGAGGAATAGAAATAGTAACTTTTGATAAGGCTACTAATATGTTCTTTTGCCTTCAGAATGGCGTGCAATGTAGTTTCTTATCTATTGATTTAAATAATTCAGCATTTTAAAAGGAACAAATCAACTCAATTAGTTTAGGGGATACTTAAATGTTGAGAACAACTTTACATCAATTAAAATTAGTGATAATTCATTTATGAAGGAACTAATATAATTAATTAGATGGTAGCTGTGTATCTCTTTTATAATACATACATTGCTGTGGGTATAGTGCTTTTAAACATCTGCTCAATAGTCTGTTATGATAGCAGAAGAATGCTTTTACGTGAGCGTAATAGAGTAGCAGATGCTTCCTGATGACAACTTCCCAATTTGTTTAGGAAACAGTCCGTGTGTCCTGGATTTGCAGTTTTAACTTGAAGCCTGGCAGCCGTGGAAGCAAATTGTATTACAGAAGCAAGAAACAGAGAAATGAAATTCTTTCCTATCATTTTTAAGGTTTGCAGTTCAGTCAAAATACCTTCATTGTTAACATTTTCTTTCTTTTACTTAAGCGGGTTTATTTTATCTTAGCAACGATTTAAATAAAATTAGAGATTTGTTACGAATCCCTTTTGTTTTGTTGCACTTATATGTATATGAATCTTTTTCCAGCAGTTATGCAGCCTTCGCAAGCTAAAATTGATTGCGCTATTGTCTAATAAATAAAATACAGTACTAGCTCAAAAGAGATAGAACAACAGTATGCATTATAAGAGGAAATAGAACAATTGCATGAAAATGTTTAAAGAGACTATCATGACATTTATGACAAAAATGAAATTCTGTGACTTTTTTGAAAAGTTACATCTGCTTTTTTGCATTTTAGGCTTTATCAGTAAATGTGTGGAAAGGAAAGCTAGTTGGTTAAAGAACAGAAAATAAACTTTGTCTTTTGGGTTGGTGTAATACTCAGGCTCCATGGCTTTATGCAGCCATACATAGATCTTTAGATATTCCAAAGATCATCCTAAATTAACTGTGCTCATTTTAGTTGTCTCATCAGCATAGTTCATCTCATCAGCTAGAGTGATACCGTCAAAACTTTTAAGGCTCCAAAATGTACTTTCCCTTCATGAATTCTCTGCATTGTACTTACAAAGACTGTAAAGTACAGGATTACACATCAATGCTGTATCTTTTTATGTAAGAAGTCTTGCCACTGCTGTTTACCAAAAGGAAAAGGGATTAGAAATGGCTTTAAGGAGGATTCAAGAATCTGTCTATGTATGCAGATCACGAATACAATGCACCCACTTGTCACCAGAAGTGCAGCAGAAAAAAAAAAAAACATATATATATCTGTTTATCAGATGCTATTTTCAGTAAGTGTAGAGACTCAGTAGCGGCCCAACGTCCATGTTGTTAGAGAGCAGAAGAGGGTGACATTCCCATCTTCCCTGAGCTCTGCATGCAGCTGAATGCCTGATTTCAGTGCTCAAACCGGCGCTCAAAGGAACCACAGGATAATGCAGCAAGAGTGTGTCCACAAATACGCTGTTCTCCAGAACAGTAGTGTGTTCAGTGAAAAGCTGCTGCTCTCCTTGTCCGACGAGCTTCCTGCTATCAATCTGTACAGATCTTTTGGAAAGGCCACTTCTGGATAAAACCACTCTTTTTTTTTTTTTCCCTTCTGGAAATAATGGGATGTTTTGGAAAGTAGCTCAGAGTCTTGTGTCCTTCTGGTAATGGCAGGAATTCTCAGGAGGATTTACTCACTGGCCATCTCAAGTAAAAATGAAATTAGAAAGATTGGCTCCTTTCCTTTTCTTAATCCAGAAAATGAAGATAGAAGTTGCTTACCAGCTACAATCTTTGCTAAGCCAGCAAGCTGAATTCTTAGGGACAAAGTTGTTCCTAGCTTAATTTATTACTTTCTGAGATAGTAGGGTATTTATAAAACATGTTTTCCCTAGGGGTGTGCAGCTTTGTGTAAACTTATTTCTCTTTTCTCAATGTTAGGAGGTAAAAAAGAATGTGATTTCTTTTTTTCATTTAATCTGAAATCATTGTAAATTAGATATTAATTTGTATTGTTACAGATTAGAGTTGTTCTTTATTTTAGGCTTGATGCAGAGTAGGCAGAAGGAAGAGTATGCATATAAATACAGCTTTTTTGGTGAAATAACAATATTTAATGTATCTGCAATAGGGAGGTAGTCTTTTTACTTCCAGGAGAACAAGGGAATGGAAGTAGCTTGGCAAGCATATTATAACATGTTGTACATATTCAGCTTTATTTTAGGGCAAGGTAAGCTAGTGACTAAGCAATAAGCAAGGCTATAATATCTGATGAAACATTAATGTCTGTACCACATGATGATTTTGTTTCAGTTTATGTTCATTTCTGAATATGGATTCCTTCCTTTCCCCATCCCTACAAATGTGAAAATCAATCCCTTTTTGGGGGGGGGCATTTCTTTTACCAACTTCTTAAGTAGTTAAATACTCTCCTACTTTCCTTTGTTGTACCCCTCACTGAAGCATTGAGAATTTACCCAGTTTCAAAAAAAAAGTAAGTTTACTAAAGGGAAGAAATAGTATTTTCTTTTCCTCAAGAGATTTTTTTTAGTAACATTAGCTCTATATTTCATATGTGATCATAGGAATTGATGTGTGGGAAGAGGAGAAGGATTTGCTTTCTCAGTCTGTTACACGTTTTTATGGGAACTGGGAAGAGTGTGTGGAATTTTACCTGGCCTGTGAAGTCAGATGCAGCAATCACCATTGTCCCTTCTGGCATGTTGTCTGTAATATCCCTTCACACACAGTTTTTAAAGTTAGGTTAACACAGAGAGGATTTTCTTTAATGTTCCATTCCAGTGCTTTAGATATCTGTTTCCTGATAAGCTAAAATCAAGCTGCTGTCCACAATTTCTCAGAATACTTCTGTTCTTTGAGCACGTGTGATTTTCTCATTTAGTGTCTAAAATTGTATTTACAAGGCTGGGTCTGAAGCTTCCCCCAGTCTGGGCTCTCAGTTCCTGGTCTTCTATCTGTGTGCCTCAGCAGCATCTGCTTGTCTGCTATGCCTGCTTTGGATGAAACCACTTTTACCTGGGCTGTCAAAAAAGTTTCAAGTATTCTCTTTGTGATTCCTGTTATAGTTTATCAGTCCTTGTATCTCTTCGTAGACTGAGGAATAAGTAAGTTGAGTTGAGAGTGAGAGATAAAAATACAAAATAGCTTTAAATTTCTTATGTGTCAAACCAACATGACTTTCAAAGGATGTTGGTTTTTCTTTTCTGTACAACCGTCTTCCTTTTGGTTGGACAGGGAGTAGTGTGCCAATACGTGCAGTCGGCTGGCACAAGCAAACTTGGAAATGCACACCCAACCTGGGGGGCAGGATGGTTGCTTACTTCATGCATGGAAATTTGGGGGAATTGAAAACTGAAAAGTCCACACCCATCGGATCTTCTTGGAAAGTCTGTTTTAAAATATTTAATCTTAAAGCATTTATTAAGTTTCTGACTCCGTTTTCAGAGGTGTTGGGTATCAACAATTTCTGGAAGAAACATTCCCCTTCTTAGCACTATCTGAATATTAATTTGAAACTAAGACAGTGCTGAAGATGTTGGGAGATTAACATCATGACTGGGGTGTATCTCAATGCTATGATTAAGTTCCACCTCTTACGATTTATTTCAAATCTACAATCAACACTGGTTGTTTCACATGTGAAGCATACAGTGAGAGGAGAAAATCGACTCACTTTGAGAAATAGAAAATTGACTCGCCTTGAGAAATGTTACAGCAAAACCAACATTTTGCAAGGAACCTTTAAACACAGAGGAATTTTTTTGGATACAGTTGATCTGTATTTTGGCAAGCAAAAACAGGTTATTTAAGGATATGGTTTTAAAATGATCTATACTAAAGGTAATGTGGAGAGATAGAGCTACAGCTGCACCTTATTTTACAAGTGTTCTGCTGTAGTTTAGAGAGAGATTTGTGTTTTTATTTTACCTACCAAAGCAGCTTGTGGCTATAAAGACCCCAGTTCTGCAAATCTTTGTACACAATTCAGAGTCTGAAATTTTGGTAAGTTTATGAGGAGTCGTTGCAGGTTTTGGATTTCAGTGTTTTTCTTGCTAGTACCAAGAAATGTCTTCGGGAATTCAAATGAGTAGTGCTGTGCAAGGGGTGATCCCTATTATGTCTGCTCTTTATGTTTATTAAATTAATTACAGTAGTGGTAATTAATTTCCCCTTGTTGCAAATACTCAAGTTGATGGATGATTTTGTTCATGTTTGTTGTTTTAGGAATCTTCGGATGATTCTCAAGTAGATGGAGTTTGTGCAACAGCAGAAGTGATTCGCTATGAGTATCATGTCTTGTACTCCAGCAGCTACCAAGTACCTGTGCTTTATTTCAGGGCGTGCTTTTTAGGTAAGACCTGTCTTCTACTAGAAAAAGAGAAGGCGAAAAATATGTGGGATGTGGTAGATATTAAAAACAGATTTTGCATTAAAGTATGAGCAAAGTAGTGGTCATACGTAATAAGAAAATCAGAGGCTGCTCACCAGTAAATTTTCTAATACACCAGACACTGAGCTTCAGGACCTTGGAGTAGATGATATCATCTCAGCCTGAAGGAGGCTGATCTTTGGCTCCTGGCATCTTGCCTGTGGTTGACTAAAACTGCTGGTCATTTTTCTTGTTCTTTTCTTTAAATGAATACCAAAATAAATAAATAAATAAATAAATAAAAATCCCTTAAAGCTGCAGGTCTGAATTTGGCTATGAAATAAGTGGACATAATTACAGTGGCTTCAGCAGAACTGTGTCACAGTCACATTAACATAGTGTGAAGCCTGAATGTGAGCTACAAGCCTAGGGTCTAAATGTATCTTTAAAACTGTGTGCTGTTTTCTCCTTAAATTTGCTGCTTAGAGAAAATAACACCAGTATGGTGTTGTCTTTAGTCATTTTTTACTGTATTAAAACTGCTTCTTGAAACACACACCGCTTTTCTTTCCTCCCCAATATATACGTCTTGCTACTCATTACTGAATTGCTACAGCCTCCGTGATTTCACTCACCATCCTGTCAGGAAGGAAGGAGGAACACGCGGCCTCCCTCCAAGGCCACTGTTAGTGTCACTTATTTAATCAGCAAACACAGAGTGATCACGCTGCAGCACTGCCCGTGCTCCCTTCCTCTCTGCCCAAAGACTGTGCACTGAGGGCCGGGGGAGTCCGAGCTCCACGTCTTTTCATGCCGTCTTCAGCATGGTAACATCAGCATCTTTTGTGTTTTGAATAATCTCCTAACTTTATCTAGATGAAGATGTCTGAATGTTGCCAGTGATATCTTTTTCTTTTTAATTAAAAAGTAGCTTAAGCTGCTTTGAATGTGTTTGGTAGATTTAATCACTCTCTGCCTTATATTGTTTAATGGTTTCTAATTTTGCAGTGTTAGCATTTTAAAAGGCACTTTAGATTTAAAACTGAAGAACAAATTCTCATGGATTCCCTGGTGAAAAAGATTTTAGTCTGAGGTGCAGTTTCAGGGAATGGATAATTTGGGGTAAATTTTCAAGCTGGGACATGGGGAATTGGGGACATTGCTATGCCTTTACCACCAACAGAACACTCATTTGCACACATCCTGCTCCAAATTTATTTCTGGAATTATTACAGGCTTTTACAAATGTGCAGTATTTTACATTTAAACTTAGTGTGCAGACAGAAGGATAAAGAAAGTTTTGTTGCAAGAGGCAGATTAACCTATTTGTGGTACTGAAAAATGTCATCATCTTGGGTTTAGCTGAATTAACAGTACCCTGTTTCTACACAAGAGGTTGGAGATGCTGCAGGTAGAGGAAATAGGACACTATTTCTACTGTACTGTACTTTCATATAATTAGTATTCACCATAAGCAGTTAATCACCAGAGAAGAGCTCCCAGAGACAAAACAAGTTGTTTAGCTTGTCAGCATCAGGGAATCGGAGGTGTTGAAACATGACTCCTTATAGCTGGAAGTGGATATTACAGAAGCTAGTGGATGATCTAATGCATAATCTTAGTATTATGTGCCAACAGCTCCCCTCACAGTACAAAACTGTAATTGTTCCTACAAGTATAATTACGTTTTAAAACATTTCTTGGGAGCCTTTCACAATGGAAAGCAAGGATTTTTTTTTAATAATCCCTATAATCACCTGGGTTCTCTTTAACATTTAACGTTCTCTGACTCTTGAAGAGGGAAGGATACAAAATACTGGCAATAAGCACTTTTTCAAGGAGCTTTTCAAGTGATATCCTTGCATTTTAATTCTAGATAGTTTACTTTTACAAATGAAAAATTCTGTCATCACTGCAAATTATTTACCTAGTGTCTGCAGTGCTCTTTGGAGCTCCCATCGTGAGGTTTTCGGGAACATACAGACCCCGGTCAACTCGCGATCACTTGAGACATCTGAGCAGAGACTCTTTTGTCTTGCCTTGGATCTAATATGGAGAGGGCTGGTGGTGTTGTGAGATCTGTGTCTTTTGGTTAGGAAGCTAATGGTCTGCTTGTGGTAACTCCCTCACCCCTTTCTTGAACCCACGTTGAACCCAGCAATTTTCATGGCATCCTTTATCTGAAATAGTTGGAGAAAAATGTTCTTCTGAGACCTATGTGGGTTTCACAGCCTGAATCCCTACCATTGTTTTTAGCTTAAGTTCACGGATTCGGTCCTTCCCCAGCTCCTGGAAAGCTGCTCGTGGTTCCCCCTGGCTCCCGGGCGTGCTGCTGTGCCGGGCGGCCGAGGCTCCAGCCCGGGCTTGTCCCGCGCGCGCGGCAGCGGGGCCTGGGGCTGGAATGCCGGGCCCGGCTTCCTCCCCGACGCCGCGCTCCATGGCCACCGCACCTCGGCGCCGCGCTCGGGAAGAACAGCTCTTCTGTGCAACCTGCCTGGATAGTTCTGCGTGTTTTGCAGTGCTCGCCTCCTCACTCTGTGTGCTTTAATAGCAACTGGTGCCGCTCTGTCCGAATCTGCAGTCTTCCAAATCGACTGTGCTAGAATAATTAAACCCTCCCTTGCTCGCGTGTTTTCAAGTCCGGTTTCCACAGACTATTTCGTATCTGGCGGTACCTCCTCGAAAACAGGCATCCACACTAGTTGCTGGGGAGGTTTGCTGGTGACCTGCTCGTGTGTCAGCACGATTGGCGTCTTCAGAAGCCTGTGTCAGTAAGGACTTGAAAGTTTCTCTCCTTTCTGCTGGTGACTGTGCTCCAACATTATAGAAGAGTCCTCCCGCAGCAAGACACTTGCATAGTGCCCATATCCCTGCTTCTTTCTAACTTGGATGAAGTAACTTATTTTTTGAAATTCATCTTCAATCTTCTTCCTTTTTTTTAATTTTTTTTTTGTCCAGGGAAAGCTTGATATGGAAAGCAGTGCAAGGTAAAGGTTTGAAATTGGAATCGCAATAGAACTAAAACATTTAAAATGACATCTAAATTTTTGGGTAGTCTCTAGGGACTGGTTTACAAGGAAACCTTGTTCTATGCAAGGAAAAACAGTTCAGCTAAAATAATGATCAAATATGATGCCTCTGTCTGAAAAAGGGTTTGAGAACATTATAGGATGCAGGAAGCTATTTTTAGGGCACAGATATGCATTTTTCAGTATTCATGATGCTTCTCACAAACCTATATTCTTGAGAGGACCTTACTGTAGTCCTTATCCGTCAGGAGCTCAGGACAGTGATCTTCAGGATCTAACTTCTTCAAAGTCAGTGTCACATGTGACTTGCCTCTCAGAAATGGGAGACCTCCTTTCTTTCTCTGGCTTCTGAGATTACCAAATAGGTAGTTGAAGAAATGCACGAAGCCCTGCTGAGATCTGATGTCAGCAATTAGCCTTCTTGGAGACAGATGGTAAACGCAATTAGCCTTCCCCTTAGATGCTGGCATCAGCCAGATGGGCTGGGCTAGGTCCAGTAAGCTTTCTTTAATCAGTAGAGTAATTTTCCTCTTTTCTTAGCCTCTAAGATGTCAAGGAACTTTGGTCTTTTCTGAACCCTCATCAACTAAAGCCACCCATTGCAACAGTCCTTGCCCTGACCGGGAGCGAGCAGCAACACAACCGCAGGTGGACATGGGTGGACACCCTGCGTGCCAAGAATTGTCTCACTCACTCTTCTTCCTCCTTTTCCTACAAAGGTAGAGGAAGCTGGTGAAAACCATGCTAGAAAGGAGTTAGAGAAAGCCTAAGGTAATCTGACTTCCACCGCTCCAGAAGGAATGAACTCTCTTCATTCACAGGCCACCATTATCCCCCTTCTCAGAAAAAGTGGCTACTCCTTAGGTCATGATGCTGGCTATACCTGGCCTGTGTTAACTGGTCATATCATGGCTTCAGACATAAAGAGATTGAATAGCTTGTTTCGACAAGCTCCCTCCTAAACTGGGAAAGGTGTTTTTTCTTGTGTGGCAGTGGTTTCTTCAGACCAGAAAATATCAGTATTTCTTTGAAAGTGTGCCATAATGAGGCCTCAAATGGATTCATGCCCCATTTCCCAAATGTCTCCAAAGTCTTTCTTTTAAGGTTGGGATTATAAAAGAAACTTGATATTGGCTGTAATCTAAGTAGAGGTCAAGCTTTGCAATAGTGTTTAAAAAAAAAAAAAAAAAAAGGTCAAGCCCACAAACTTTAATTAGAAATCAAATAAATTATTAAAACCATCATTAAAAAACAAGAAAGTAAGTATAATGCAGCAATTTGGGAAGCCTGCAGTGGCATTCTCTGAAAATCCAGTTGGAGTTTCTATGCCTGGAGAATTTCTGCTCTCTGCAGAAATGAAGGTACCAAGTTGGCTGGGGCTGTACAACTCATATGTAGCCTTAATGCCATGAGTCGCTGCTGTGATGGGGCACTCAGCCCTCTGCTTATTAGCGTGGGTGGGGATACATGGTGCTCACACTGCTGGCTGCCTCTGCAGCCTGCGCCTCCCCTCCTGCCACTTCTCTCTGCATGGTGCTGCCGGGGCCTCTTCTGCCCATGCTGCTCGGGCCCAGCTCCAGCCCTGTGAGCGAGGAGGCGAGAAGCAGAGAGGCTGCTCGGCTTGTGGGAGCGAGGAGGCAAGGAGCAGAGAGGCTGCTCGGCACATGGGAGCGAGGAGGCAAGGAGCAGAGAGGCTGCTCGGCTCAGCAGGTGCCACAGTGGCCCCTTGTTGCCAGCAGCAACAATTACAGACGGCGCAGTCGGCTCCGCTGGATGCTGGAGGTCTCCGTGGGCTGCAGGAATGCGTAAGAGGGCTGCGAACCACGTGGGCGCTGGCAGCCCTCGGAAAAGGGGGCCCAGGGAATATAGCCAAGTGTTTTGTGCCGAGCCGGGAGCCGTGCATTTCTTTGCGTGTGCCGAATGTCTTCCGTGACATCACCCTGAGCAGCTACAGGTGACCTAATTCACACAAACCAAGGAGTTCTGAAATGTAAAGCTCACCTCCAGCCACACTACCTGAAATGTGTTTTCTTTACCAGGCGTCCCTGTCTTGTGGCAGGGAAACAAGAAAAAAGCCAGAACAGACTATAAATTTTCCCCCTTCTTCCCCAGATGCTTAGCAGCATACTAATGCATCCATCGGCCGCTTGGGCTGCAGTGGCTTCATTGTTTTATTATTTATTTGAACAGAACTACCAGACTTTGGGGTCTTCGTGCCAAAGAATAAGATAGGGACCTGCCTGTCCACCCTACTCGGTATTAAAAACCACACCACTTTTAAACTGATTCTAAGTTGAGTGAATATTTTGCAAATAAGGCAGAAAGTTCAAATCTTAGGGAAATTTAAATCCAAACACATTTCAATACAGAAGTGCTTAAGGCAAATGTCTAGGTCTTGGTACTTGATACTTTTATTTTTATCCGAATGAAACATTGCAATTATTGTACGGTAACAACTGAAGCATTTTACTGACTGTAGTCTCACTCCAATGCAACACTTAGAGTCTGGATTTATTTCTGCTTTCTCTGAAATAAAAGTAACTTTAAACTGAGATATGATGGAAAACATTGCTTTTTATACATGAACTAATAAAATCCATGAGGTAAAGACACAATTCAGATAATTGTTAGTTATAATGCAAATAGTGTTTCAAATGTATATGATCATTTCTATAAATGACATGGTTGAGTCAGAGTAAACTATCTAGCGTGTGTGACCTGAGTTTGCTCAAGTGGAAATTCACACATAGGAAGGAAGATGTACAAAATAAACTCCAGAGTGGCAAATCAGATTGTTATACGTTTGTGGGGTTCTAGATACTGCATTTGGATTTGCATTGAATTGCCTTTACAGTTCAATTCCACTCAATGGCAATTGCCTTTCTAGGTTGACTAGAAAGCATGGAAAATTGCAAGTAACCATCCCCTCTTAAATTAGGTGCATATAGAAGATGAATTGTTTTATTAATAAATTCTTCCGAAGTTAGCTTATGCTCTAAGAACTATTGTAACAAAATTCTTAGTAAACTTTAGGCCATCTCCCACATAGCTTTGATATCTCCATCGTAAGACAGAGAGAATGCCTGTCTTATGTGCTTGAAGATAGTAAAGTATAGCTATTTAATATGGTTTGCCTCTCAAATGCTTAATTTGCTACACATCTTAATGTTTCTGCTGTATGGTGCTTACATAAGGGCAGAACTTGGTGCTGTTTAATAAATGCGTGCAGAAAATAAGATAAAATAGAGGCTGTAGGCAGCTGGTTTCAACTTATATCTAAACATGGCATTCAAATGTTAATTGGATGAATAAATCTTGTTCATTTTACAGACATGAAAATGTCAGTAGAATAAAACTATTTATCACAGGATAATGGTCTCTGACACCTGATAAATGCCAGGAAGAAGCTACTTATTGAAAACGTATCAAAATATTCTATTGCTGTTTGTCAAAAACAAATATTGAGTCAAAATTGACATGCTTATTTTCAGTGGTTGACACTGGTATCTCGGCATAATTCTAACCTGTCAGATAAGAACCTGATTCAACAATGCCATATAAATGTAACTCAACAGAAAACTTATAGGCAGGCATCTGCATAGGGACATAGATTACCAAGGGACACTGAACTTCTGTCAGCAGAAATTTGTTCTTTGGATATTTTTCCTTTCTTTCACAGGGAATTATGTGCATTTACATGAAACAACTGATGATTATATTATTCTGTGGCTTTTAATCTCTCTTGTCCAAGAACTGTTTTACAAAATTATTTTAACCTCACAATTTACAACCAGACAAGTAAGTTGTTGTTCTCATGTGACAGAGAAGAAAGCTGAACAGAGAGTTTAGGATGGTTTTATATGCTCATGTGGTCGAGATTGGGGCGATGCTTTTGGGAAGTTTTGGCGCCAGAACGGGTTCAACCATGTTTTGTCCTTTTTTTATTTTGCTCCCATGTGCCATAATTAGTATTTTCAGGTTTACATTTGGAGTTCTATATTAAAGTCATAACTTGCCTGAGTTTTGAATATTCTTGGTTGTTCTTCTCTCTTCCCCCCGCTGCAGATGGTAGAGCGTTAACCCTGGATGAGATCTGGAAAAGCGTTCATGCCTGCTACCAGGCCCGGCTGCTGGAGGGGCCCTGGGACACTATCACACAGCAGGTGAGAAGCCACTCGTCCTTTACAAGACTGAGTAATGCAGTATCTGTGGGAATCTTGTTCCCTCCTGGAAACAACTAAAATATACAGAAGGCCAACTGAGGCTGTGCTGAGCCAGTTATCAACATAGTTTTATTTTTGAAGATGTGTCAGTGTTCACCTTAGAAGACTAATTACAACAATCTCACTCATTTAAAATACTTTTCCTAAGTTAAACCTGAAAAATTTTGGTGATGAATAGTCTTTGGTTTGGGTAAATATGGATATAATAGCAAACTTCCTTAAGTAAAATATATTAGTAATATAGTAGCATTTCACAGACTGCCTATGAATTAAATAACCAAAAAGACTGTGTAATTGTGAGTTTTAAGTAGACCTATAATAACCTTTGGGATTGAAAGAAAATTATTCTGTCAGTCAAATAATTACTGCTGACTGATGTGCTTAAGACTACTCAATGAACACAAGAAAAAACAGATGAGTCAACAGTTTGTTAGATTACTGTCTTCTTTTAGAGTTAATCAAATAACTTTTAGTGAAAGTGGTTGAAGTCATGCTAACTGTTTTAAAAGCTCTCCTATTTGTGCATAGGGAGAGCGGGGAATGGCTCGGGGGTGAGCTGGTTGCTCCGAGTTCCGCCCTGAGTTCTGGGCCTCCAGTGCGACTTTGGACAAGAACAGAGAGTTTCCAGGTCCAAGTTTTCCATCGTCAGATGGAGATAAGGAGGTGTCTTTTTTTCCTATCCCTTCCATTCTTGGCTTCTTGATGTTAGCCCTTTGCAGGCACACAGGTCTCTTACAATAGCAATTTACAATGGCACAATGTGGAAGTAATCTCAGGTGATGTCTGTCTGGAGGTGTTTCCATAAAAAGATATTCCTTGCATTACAGAAGCCTCATGAGAACCTTGTAGGCATTGGGGGTCTCATGTTTTCTGTGCATTTCTAAGCTTGACTGTGAGCTTGCAGATTCTTTCTTAATACTTGCCTTTAAATAACCTGCTAATTCTATCTTGTTTTATGCAGAATTAAGGTGAGCAGATCAGATTTTAGGGAATTGATAGTGGATAAATAACTTTCTCCACAAGAAGATATTGTAGTTTAGATCTAAAGTTTTATGGTTTATAGCTGAAATTGATGACTTACATCTAAAATGTGCATGGAAACTGATATATATAATATATAGCTAAAACTACACAGAGAGACTAGTCAATTAACTTCACCTTCACTACGTCCACATTCTTTCATTCGAAGTACATAGTGAGCAGTGACCCTGCTATGAGCTGCTAGGAATCCTTTCGGGCTACCTCTCCGGTATTTTCAGCTGAGCTGTTGAGGCTTGTGGATAGATTATACTCCCACCTGCAAAAATGCATAGGAGAATCTGCTGCGTGCGCTGCAGCGGCCTCGTGCCTTCTGTGGGCTCTCCCGTGTTCTCCTGTGGCCTGAAGCCCCATTCAGGCTTGTTCTCTGTCTGCAAAGCACTGTGAGAACCTGTGACTTGTGGTAGGTAATAAATCATAGAATAGTAGCACTGAGAATAAAACAAAGAGTTTGTGTGGAATGTATAAAATTAGGGTGATGGAAGCTAAAAAGAAAACCAGGTCGCTGCCACCCAGAGATTATTTTTACCTCTTAAGGAACAGTAACATAAAGCTGTCCAGTGTCTAATAATTAAAGATGTGTATGAGACCCATGCATCCAGAGGCCTGCAGAAACAGGTTTGGTGGGTGGTAAAATGTGTGGTATGCTGCACCTAGAGTCTCGGTGGCACCTCTCCAGGGGCAGTTCAGCCGCTATGAGCAGAGTTGCAAACACAAACTAGGATATCAGGGAAAGTGTTTTGTAGAATTGAATACAGTTATAGCAATACTATACTATAAAAATACTACAGAGCGTGACATTAAGCTGTGTTTCCATTAAAAAAAAAAAGGAGATTACAGACTGAGTTTAACTGTTTCTCCCAGAATAATGAGAGTATGCTGCAGGCTGATGGCATAGCTGGGACTGCTGGCAGGTAGAACCTGGGGAAGTTAAGATCTCCCAGTAATTCCATTACATGATTTGGAATTATTTAGCTTTATTTCTACATCTTTCATGCTATCAGTAGGTTTGTGTGTAGTTGCTTCTCCCTGAAGACTTTGTACCTGTGGCTTGAGGCCGTTGAATTCCTGCTACTTCAGTGGGGCCAGCCTGCTTTACATCAGTATTGAACCTGATCCAAAGGCCCCAGCTGCATTCCTGGTTTGGAAATGTACTTTCCCACATGGCTGCGAGAGAGCGCCTCCGGTAAAGTAGCTTTAAGAGGTCTACAGTTTTAATTTTAGATGAAAACAGAAAGGCAGCAGGCAACGAGGCTGCATTTGCTCATGGTCATCCAGGCAAGTGATAGGAAGACAAGGGCAACGCACGGTGCATGGAAGTGCTCCTCTCTGGAGCCGAATCGGAGAGCAGGGAGAGCACCAGTGCGATGAGCAGCGCCAGGCGTGCGCTCGGTGCCAGCAACCACTGCTAGAGCAAACACTTTCCCTTGTAAATTGGGAGATACATATGCCAGATCAAATACAAAACAGCAGTAAAAAATCAGCGTAGTCTCCAAGGAATTAGAGAAGATAATAAAAACATACTGTAAACAGTAGCCTGCAAGGCTCAAATCAAAACAAGAGTTAGGTCCACAAGTTTTTTGTGTTTTTTTTTTTTTTCTCCTTTCCAAAGAGATAAGAATTCTGAACCGAAAGAGAGAGTTTTTTCTTCTCCTTCTGCTTTTCTGCTGACCCATTTTGCTATATGGGTTAGGCTTGGCCCCCAGGGACACAGATTGTGTAGTGGAAGTCATTGGGCAAACTTACCAAATCAGGCTTGAACTCTCAGTATGCGTGAGCAGCAGTCAGAGAAAGTTTAGGATACCCAAAATAGAGCAAAAATTAAAAAAAAAAATAAATTCTGCAAAGAATTCACCACAGGGAAGAAAATTTGAGCAAGGCACAGTAAATGCACAGTGTCGCTTAACATTTAGGTAGGGCTGATTTTGTACTTTGATTTAATAGTTGGCAGATCAATAGGGAAATAAAGGTACACTGAGGTGCTGTTTTATCCCACAGTTTCAGTATCCTGCTCTAATCCTTTGGAAACTGTATTTTGTGAAATGGGGGCGCTCTGTTTACGCATATTTGTGATACAACTGCATTTTAACTTATACTCTGTACCTAAAATACTTCTAAGATCAGGAATTGAGACACTGCTTAAACTCCAAAGAGTTTAGCATTAGTTGCCAATATGATTACAATATTTTAGTACTATTTTAACTTTTTTGTTACTTTTTAATATTGTGGAAAGTCACACTCCTTTTCAAAGGCAGAATCTTCAAGCATGTTCTTCAAATATTTTTACTGACTAGGTTATTTTTATTGCAATAAGCACAAGTCAACTAGTTACTTTTCATAAATAAATTAATATGATAAGGCTGCATAGTATTTTATAATGATAGTTGATAAATGGTGATGATTTAATTGCACTTCCTCTAGTAATAATCTTAAAATGCTTAAATGAAGTTCCAGTGATTGGCTTTCTTCTATGTTAAATCTCCCTAGAGTCTTCAGTCATCCCTTTCATACATCCGGTGATAACTTGCTTTAGCTGTTTTAAATAATACAAATCAATTATAACACACAGCTGTTTAACCAAACTTCTGAATGTTGCTACAGGTCTCTGTGGGTATTTCCTGATGGCTTATAATGACATCAATTTAGCACACCTGGTAAGATCTGTGTGAGCTGGAAGTAGCTTAATTCTGCATTGACAGGAAAATTAAGGAGTATTTATGGATTACTGTTGCTTTTCAGCATCGTTGCCAGCTCTGATGTTAGTTTCTTATGCAAAGAGTTAGAAAGGGAGGTGAGATGTTGCCTGCCTGTGTCCTGAGCAGTTTCTCTGGAATGTGGTGAGGCTTTGGAGGATCCCCGGGATTAGTTAATTCTCTCCACCTACTGCCAAAGAATGTCTCTTTCCCTTCTTGCATTAATGGATGCAAGAATTGCACTCTTCCCAAGAAGCTTCTTTCCAGGTCCCCTTCTAATCTTTCCTGAGCTGCAGACAAGCAGAGCTTTCCCTGCTTGTCCCTCCCTTGAATTCTCCCTTCGGTTTCAATTAGGCTGCAGCCCTAGTCCTGGGCCCCACGTGGTGGGAAACCTGCCCAGCTTGGCTGGTGCCAGCCATGCGCCCGCCTTCCCTTTGTTCCCCCTTCTAAAATTCCTTTTTTCCCCCTAAACCGTATTACTTTTTAGAAGTATTTATTGAGTCAGCTACATAGCTGCCTTGATAGTAAATAAAAATCTAGCTGCCTGAGAGAGGGGGGAAAAAATAGATATGCTAAACAGAGAGAATTTGTATTAGAGTGAATATAAAAATGAGGCTAAGGATCCTGGAGAGATTTAATTTACTAATGGAAGATAAAAAAAAAAAATGGAGAAAAGAAAAAAGATGAAGTAGGTAATTATGGGAATGGATGGCTGCAAGGGAGACACATATTTGATACTCTGATACTGAGCAGAGAAGTCCAGCACAGCTTTAGGTAAATACATAGTGGCATTGTGTAACACGGCTCCGATATAATGATTCGTCTTTGTGTAACTGAACAGCAGATCCACCACATTAAATTCTAGGTATGATGTTACTGGAGACACAGTAAGTTGGCAGCAGTCCAAAAGTGCCGTAGTGAGTTGCTAAATGACAAGACAATTTAAAGGAAAAAAGGGGGTAAAAAACACCGGAGGAAGAAAAAGGTTCAAAAAACAGAAGGGAGAGCAGAGAATAGATTTAAAATGAAGGGGGAGAAACGTTATAGATTGTAAAGGCAAACATACCTTACCACAATGTAGTGCATAATTTAACAACCAGCAATGTAAAAAAAAAAAAAAAAAAAAAAAAAAAAAAAATTGCTGAAATGTGGTTCTTCTCTAAAGGCTGTATTCTACCTTTTATCCTTGTGGAAACCTTCCCCAGTGTG